GCCCTCCCCTGCTGTCTGCTGCTGTGCCACTGTGCTTTGGAGGAGAAAACCCAAGGCAGGTTCTGTGATATGACAGCAGCATTTATTGTTTTTTTTGGGCTATGTCATGTCCAATCACTACTGAGCCATCATTACTCTTCCACTGTTCGTGGTGCAGATTATTTTTTCTTGGCTTTTTCTACAGCATAGCAATTGAATTTTATCTTTGTACTGTTTCAGTAGTGGTGTTTCCCTCGAGGTATTCTGTTCTATTGTGCAGTTCTGAAACTCTACCTAAAGTACTTCGTTTTGCTCTTGGGATCCCATCACAACAGATAAGTGGACTTTTTAATCAGGATCCATTAAAGCACCACGGAATTTATCAGAAGGCTAGATTACCTTGCCTACAAAGAAGTGCTGAGGTAGATGGCGATGATCTGCCTGGCAGAAGTTGTTTCCAGGGCAAGTATATTGTAGGCTTTCAGTTTTTGTAGGGCGATTATAAGAAACATTGAGAGAGGCATTTTTTACGAGGGTATTTCGTGATAGGACAAGAGGTAGTGATTTGAAACTGAAAAAGGCTAGATGTGATTAGAAATGGTGAAAAATTCTATCATTACAACGCTAGTGAAAGTCACTGGTATAGGTTGCCCAACAAAGTGGATACCCCATTTGTGGATATCTTTCAGTGTCAAGATGGAATTTGATGCCACCTGGTCTAGTGAAAGATATTTCTGCTCCTTAAAGGGGAATTGGTCAAAATGGTCTTCAATGGTTCCTTCCAACCCAAGATGATCTAGGATTCTATGACACTTTGATAACCACATGTAGCTGTAAAGGATCTAAATTTACTCTTTCATGCACCATTTTATAGTTTTGGATTGTCCATAATTCAAGGTAGATTAATTCAGTCTTCTTTCAGGCTTACCTTACATTTCAAGAAGAAGATGAGGGAAAAGTAAAGAGCTGTCAGCTCTAACTGCACAAATTTCAGGTTCTTGGTGGCCTGCAGCTGAGGTTTTGTACCAGGATGGAAGAATAAGACTGATCCTCAAAATTATCAATAAAGAGCTTGGTGCTGCTTCCATGAACTTCCATGAGATTGAGTGTACTCAGGACAGTCCATAATGAATTGCCGGTTGCCTGCAAGATCAGTCTGGATGTTTTCATCCAGGAACAGCATTCCTTGTTCCTAAGCTACCTTGGCTGGAGTTGCTGTGTGTACATGCGTGTACCTTCAGCAGTCCAATACAGGTCTGGGGAGTGAGGGATGCGTATCCCTTTGTGTGAAAATGTTGTGCTTATGAGCCTAATTCCATGGTGATTTTGTCCACCTTGATTAGCAGTGTGCTTTTTGCAGGACTTATTAGAGAACAGGGTCGAAAGGGAAGGATAGTGTGATCAGGAATTGACCGATCTGCTTTAACCCTGCAGTACAAGTATAAAGAAGGGTACCGCAAGCAGCTTGGCCACCACATTGGAGCC